TCGGGTACGAGCTGCTGAAATGGGCTTTCTGAGAACAATCGTTGCCCTTACCCGACACGACATGGTCCGAAGAACAGATATTCGAGAGTGCGTTGATGTATAGTCATTGCCTTTTCAGATTGAGAAGTCACAGCAGAGATTTGGCACGTGCTTCGGATGCTTTCAGAAAGGAAGGTTATGCAGCTGCTACTTGCTCAGCCTATTGGATGAACACCCCGAGGACTGCCAAGGATGGCTTCGAACAAGTGTTACGACGGGATATGCTATAGAATCAGGTTAATTTTTGCCGAAGCTATAAGACTGGCAGAGGATCAGAAACGTTGCAGACATTGTGTGGTGCGTCTAGCCCCGGGTCTCAGAAGGATAAGCGCTCATCGAAAGTGCTTGACTTACTTTCAACTCTTGTAGCAAATTGTTAAGAAAATGAAATGAGACGAAAGAAACAAATCATTGACATAATTCAGTGTCTTTCGTGAATGCACGCTGTTTCAGTCCCTGAAGATGAGTAATGGTGGATTTTGTCATTCAACGTGTAGTAACAAAACGAATCAAAATCTTTTATTACTGGACAATCAGTCTTAGCAAAATTGACACTTGACACCGTGATTCCAGTGACAGTGTTGGTGCTTGTTCGCCATCCCATGCCTATTAAGGGTTTTGATCATTTTGCATTTACTTGAATCACTAGCGAAGGATATGCTGCTATGATAATTATGGGAGATAACCTTGAAGGCTTCCATGTGCTATAAAAGGACACCATCAGTTTCGCTTGTGATAGGTAATGCTTGCGATTATAAATCTGTCGCGCTACTGCTATATTCAGATGAAACATTTATTTAAGTAGGTATGCAGGAACTCAGCGGTACCTTCATCAAGCGTCCCCAGTTTATCATCCTTGCTATAATGTTTATTCGCTATAGTTGTCAAGCAGCACCATCAGCATTTTGCACAATGATTGTAATTTTGTAGTGAGAAAAAATGTTTAAAAACGGCAGTGATGAGACCACAAAATATGATATAAAAACGAACTTGATTACAGAAAAGTAGTATCATGCAGTGAACGAATGTTTGATCTCTCTCTTAGGAAATTCTGCGTTTCGTACTCTAAAAATTCGAATAATTATCGACCCACAATCATCGCCCTTTCAATGGCGTCAACAAATGCTGTTTTAAATTAAATTTCTGTAATTGTAGTATTTCCAGCGCTTTTGTGGCAACGACAAAACAATATTTGTCTCATTCATTTGTATTGCATCCTTCCGTCTATTTTCACTTACAGCTTCCAATATCGTCGCCACAGCATATACACGCAAAGAATACTCGAGTTATTCGAAGAGCAGCCAAAACGCTACCAAAGGCTGACTAATCGTGTTCGTTTGTGACGTATCGCAAATACACGGCTAGTGAGCTCATAATCACCGCGAAGAGCGAAGCAGCTATTTTTTCCGGTGGTAGTATCGACCAATTGCCGATTCATGTTTACTAAAGTTGACCAGCTGGTCTGACTTTTGAGTCAGCTATCAAATAGGTCACGACCAACTGCAATCGTAAAAGGAACGGATTCTGCGACTTCCATCACATGAGTTCATCTGTTCTCTTTCAGTCCTTGATCATTCACAGTCGCATATTTTGGAAGAAGCAATGCAGTTCATTTACCGGCACGAACATGTGACTCCAGCACCTCTGCAAAAATATGAACACTCTAGAAACTCCAATCTTTTTTTCATTGTGATGGTTGAAAAATAACTTCGCTATAGACGTCCTGTGCATCGTTGTAGTTTAATTCTTAGTGCTATTTATTTAATTAGCAGATTTTATTTTCTTTTATCTAGCTGAAAAACAGGACTCGTTAGTAATCGTAATCAGGCATAAAACTTCCAAGTTCAACTTCATTCTTGTGATCTGTCATCGCATGGTTGTTCGCTCATAGGGCGTCATTGAGGCTGGCGACGACACAGAAATCAACCGTCCACAATTTTCCTCCTAATTAGAATGAAGTTAAGGATCTTCAAGAATGAGAATGAGTATGTGAGATGGCCTGGGCTACCGTTGCTTGCTGAAAGATGACCATGACAGGTAAAACAGACCGAGAGATTCTGATCAGCGGAAGAAGCGGTTGTGAACAGAAAATGGCATCGAATGCGGCTCTCGTGAAAGTATTGCGGGTTAGACCCATATGCTGAATATTAGACTTACAATCAGCTATCAGGTGGATCAAGGTAAAAGTAAATTGCAGCTACACGAGGCGTTGGCATCAAACAACGCGGACGTACCTTTGGCCATTGCGTGCAACCACACCAGGAAACCATGCTGTGGAAAATGTTAAGCAGTCAACAGCATCGGCTAGAGGCACCGCAGCAGCATGGGTTAAATTCCTTGCGCAAATTAATTAGCGGTTAAAACAAATTTTTTTCTTTCTCATCTCCGGAATCGAAGCCGACCATGCAACCACTGTGCATGGGATAGAGAGAGTGCGGATCGAACGAAAGAGCAAGCTGACGCGATCAGCAGGAACGAGCATATCAAACAGTGTTTACTGAAATCAACCATGCGAACTGACAGTGAGTTGAAATATTCGAAAGTAGTATAACTGATCAGCAAACAGTAGTTGTCGAGCTTCAAATTTGGTAACGAAGTGCAGAAATTTGTGCTCGCCGTCTAACGCTCCGAACAGAATACAGTAGCATTCTTGCATTATTCAAATATACAAAAGAAGGTGCTCAGTCAGCACTAATGAGTAAACATTTCGAATGAATGAATTTTGTACACTTGGCGACTTGGCGAATAGAATACACCACAGGAGACATGTTCGCGATCGATGAATGAGGCCACGATCGGTGCTCATCTTAGTCGAGTTCAGACGGTTGGTTCGGCTAGCTCGATTCTTCCCTCAGTCTCTTCCTCGCCTTCTAATGCGTTCGTTCTCTGCTGTACATATTTGTGCTGTTGACGGTGGATAATTGCCGACTGACCAAGCACTGAGGAGGCAAAGTGGCGGTTTCACAAGTTCATTTCTGGATAAAACAGGCAGCGACGAAACAAACAGACGAGAAACGAAAGGTAAACTGTAAGCAGGCACATCGGTCGCGATCCGGTGAATCGCCTACGTCTAACATACGTTACAGAATGCACACATGGCCGACCACGCACCGGTGCGGTCACGGTCACCGTCACAGTTGGTGGCGACCGGCCGCGGACGATGGCCACTCACTCACACGGCCGAGTCGCGATACACGGCCGACAACGTCTTGCTGTCCACTACGCTGCGCGTACTATACTCGGACGACACCTTTGAGCTGGTGCTGTTGCTAAACTGTTCGGCCTTTTGCAGCGCGACAGGTCGTTTCGACGTTGACGTCGACGTCGCTGGCTGAAATCGTGGTGACTCCGGAGGGAGCACCGTACTGTCGTGACTCTGCGTGAACGCAGGCACGACTGTCGTCGGTGCCGTACCGATGCTGTAGTGGTTGTCCACCACCACTTGTTGTTGTTTCTGAAACGGCTTGACGCCAAGCATTTTCTCCTGCTTTTGCATCTGCATCTCTTTACATATTTTCCGCAGATAGAAAAAGTAGAATAAACTGGCGACGATTACAATGAAAACGATGCCACCTATTGCACTTCCCAGAACGACACCTACGATGTAGCCGGTGGATTCGTCGTACGCTTCACACGCGGCTGCCAGCGATATGAGAAGTAACATTCGGAGGCCGATCGCTACCAGATACGGTTGTTCTAATAACGCCGGCATTTCACCTTGAAAACGTGTTATTAAATTAAACAACGCAACAGGCGCTCGCAAAACCGACATTTGTTTCTTTTAATTTCACATCCAAAGCATCTTATGTGGACTTGCCTCATGCATGAAAGAAAAATATAAATACTTAGGATATCTGAGATTAGAAATCCTTTCTTACATATGAGATATCAATCAATGAATTTCAGTGACGGACTGTCTTTTCGGGTTGCGGAGGCAGGCGCATCAGACAGTGCTTCCAACGTTCCCGATCCTGTGCCTCATGTCAAATAATCTTGGGCAAATATTCTAGTCAAGCTTCGAATTAATCAGAGAAACTTGACACCAAGGATGAAAGCTTTATTGTGTCATAATTAACGCCTGTTATTTCTTTGCAAGCTTGATAGCTTTACCACTCACCAGTGATATGAAAATCGAAAATACGCGCATTTGAATCTTGGCAGCAGTCAAGCACTTTTTCTGCTTCCGAAGTAGATTAACCAGCAATACTGAATGGTTAAAACACATGACGTGATATGCACAACTGCAGATACTGTCTTCATAAATAAAGCACTGCTGACTGATAGAACTGATACAGAAATCGCAGCCACATGATTAGCTTCATGAAAGAAAGGTGTCACAAACGGATTTAGAAGCGGGAGTGTACAGAAGACCAGCATTCTAGCTGTTACCATATTTTTGGTTTCTGGCTTGCCTTAGTCAATTATGACAGTTCCTAAATACATAAATAGTTATATACAACAGTAAAATCAGTATAAATCACTGATCAAATGGCACACAGTATGCTGCATATCAAACTTTCTTTGACGGCGATTATCCAAAGCAAAAACACCATCCAGTCAAGGTTAAAAAGAAAAATCACCCTCGCGCACAGTGCTATTGACAACAGGTTAGATATTTGGATGAAAAAAGAGCAGCCTTTTCTCCAAAACTCCCTCTGTGTCTAGTCTCATTCAGGTCCGTGTTGTTGTGTGACATGGAAAAAGTTGTTCCAACGAAGTAGCAAGAACGACATCTAAACGGCAGGATCACTATTTGAATGATAGGAATAACTTTTCTCTTTCGAGTACAAGTGACCTCAGAAAATTAGCCGACGAAGGAAAGGAGGTTGGCCTTATTAGACAAACTGGTTTGGCGTGAAGCATTTATGTCAGCCCGCATGAGAGCCGAAAAGCGGCAAACGTCAATCGGGAGGCCAGCACACAACCTGGAGAACAAAGTAACGGAATATCTGCTTTTGGAGAGGAACTTTTCCCTCTGCCCAATCTGGAACCTTGTTGCAACACCTTGCCACACACACACACACACACACACACACACACACACACACACACACACACACACACACACACACACACA